CAGAAAATCATCAACAAGATCATATGCCATCACCAAGTGGGATTCATCCCAGGCATGCGGGGATGATTCAACATACGTAAATCAATACATGTAATCCAATATCAATAAAGCCAAAAGTAAGAGGCACACGTTCATCTCGATAGATGCAGAAAAAGCTTTTCATAAGGTCCAGCACTCATTCATGATAAGAAACTTACAGGAAATTGGAATAGATGATATTTACCTCAACATGACAAAGGGCATCTGTGACAAACCAACAGCCAGTTCCATGCTAAATCGCCAATAACTGAAGGCCTTTACCTTGAAATGAGGCACAAGACAAGACTGTCCCTTATCACCAGTACTATTTCATATAGTACTGGAAATACTAGCCAGAGCAATTAGACAGGAGAGAGAAATAAAGGGCGGAAAGGTAGGAAAAGAAGAAGTTAAGTTATCATTATTTGCGGATGACATGATACTCTACATAGAAGACCCCCAAAACTCCATTGAAAGACTCCTAGGTACAATAAGTAAATTCAGCAGTGTAGGTGGATACAAAATCAGTACCCAAAAATCAATAGCATTTCTATACCCTAACAACAAGATACAGAGAGACAAATAGGAGGAGCCACACCCTTCACACTAGGAACCAAAATGAAATATTTAGGAATTTTTCTCCTGAACGAAGTCAAAGATCTACATAGGGGAAATTATAATACACTAAAAAAAGAAATTGAAGAGGATCTCAGAAAATGGAAAGTCATCCCTTGCTCATGGATAGCAAGCATAAATATTGTGAAATTGTCCATTCTCCCAAAACTGTCATACAGAATCAATGTAATCCCAATAAAAATAACATCAACATACCTCATAGATCTAGAGAAAGCACTCCTAAAATTCATCTGGGACCTGAAGAGACCTAGAATAGCAAAGACAATTCTGAGCAGCAAAGGCAAGGCAGGAGGCATCACAGGCCCTCACTTGAACTTATACTACAAAGCAATTGTAGTAAAATCAACATGGTACTGAATAACAACAGAGTCGAAGATCAATGGAATAGATTAGGTGTAACCACAACTACAAACAAGATGAACCTTCTATCTTTGATTAAGGGGCCAAACTTGTTCACTGTAAGAACGACTGTTTCTTTAATAAACGGTGTTGGAAACACTGGCTCTCCATATGCTGAAAACTAAGACTTGACCCATGCCTGGCACCATGTACCAAACTGAAATCTAGAAGGATCAAAGTTCTGAATATTCAAACAGAAACACTAAATCTATTGGAAGACAAAGTGGGTACAAACCTTGAAGACGGGGGTAGGTAGAGAATTCATGAACAGGAATCAAACTGCACGGGAAATACTTTCCAGAATCAACAACTGGGATCATGTCTTATTAAAAAGTTTCTGCACGTCCAAAGACATCTCTAGCATAGTGAAAAGAAAACCTACAAACTGGGAAACAATCTTAGTGAACTGTCCCTCAGACATAGGACTTCTGTCTGAAACATATAAGGAATTTAAAAAAATCAGACCCCCAAAATTGAAGGATCCAATCCAAAAATCGGCATCTGAGGTGAATACACAATTCTCAGATGAAGAAATACAAATGGAAAGTAAATACATGAAAAAATGTTCACCATCAGTACTCTTTAGAGAAATGCAAATTAAAACCACACTTGAGATTTCATCTCACTCCTGAAAGAGTGGCCAGGATCAAGAAAACTACCAACAGCAAATGCTAGAGAGCCTGTCAGGGCAAAGGGACTCTACTGCACTCTTGGTGGGAATGTAGACTGGTGCAACCATTGTGGATGTCAGTGTGGAGATTTCTCAGAAAGCTGGGATTGGAGGTCCCATTAGTTCCAGGTATTCCACTTCTAGCCATAGTCCCAGAAGAACTGAAGACTTCACACCAGAGTGACATACCTGCACCCATGTTTATAGCAGCACAATTTGTAATAGCCAGATCTTGGAAACACCCTAAAAGTGTCCATCAACTGAGGAAGGGATAAAAAAGATGTGGTATTTTTATACAATGGAATACTACTCAGCTGTAATGAATGATCACATTGAGATATTTCTAAGTAAATGGGTGCAGCTTGACACCACACTCGTATGTGGAAAAAGTCAAACTCATATGTATAAATACTGAATATTTTCCCGAGTGTAAGAAATAGTAAGAATACATAAAAGTATGTGGTAATCATGGTTTCCCATTATATTGTTTGAAGCATTATAATGTTTTCATTCATTAAGTGGAATGGTGTTATTCTAGATTGGTTTTTTTTATTGTCTGTGTTGGTATGAACTTATTTTGAAGAAAACAAGACATTGTAATAGCTAGTGATGATTTAATATCATCTTGTTCTCAAGTCCCATCAAGCTTTTGATCTTCTGTCTCCATTGGTTTTATCATGTTGTATCTTATTGGATTTTATTATATGTGATAGTATAAACGAAATTTTTTATAGACAAGGAGCTAATATAGTAACCATTGTTCATTTCCTGTTAGTTTGTTCTGAATGCCCTGTAATGCTCTCTTTCTCTTTAATGGTTTTACATTGTCTTTTTATGTTTGATACTACAGTATATCAAGCTATAGTCAAATATTTCAAGGAAAGAGACACTTTAGCTACTGTTATGTCAGATTGTCTTGTGGTGAAACACTGTGTTACTTAAATTGTTCTGGCCTGTCCTGTGTTGTCATGCCCTCTTTTATCTTAATCTTTAAAAAAAATAATGGTAAGACTATACAACATTTTATGGTAATCGTGATTCCCTGTTACATTGCTTTGAATCCTTATAATGTTTTCATTCATTAGTTCAATTGGTTTTATTCTGTTTTGTTTAATTTTATTATGTGTGATGGTATGAACAGCTATTTTCAAGAAAATAAGACATTATGGCAGTTATTGCTGATTTAATACCATCTTGCTTTGAAGTCCTACCATGCTTTTGTTCTTCTCTTTCCATTGGTTCTATCGTGTTGTGTCTTATCAGATTTTAATATGTATGATAGTATAAACAAACTTTCTATGGAAAATGTGATATTATAGTAGCCATTGTTCATTTTCTATTATTTGGTTCTGAATGCCCTGTAATACTTTCATTCTCTTGAGTGGTTTTATACTATATTGTTATGTTTGATACTGTTGTATGTGAAGGCATGCTCAACAGTTTCAAAGAAAGAGACATTTTGATAGCTGCTGTTAATATTGGATTGTCTTGTTGAACGTGCTGTATTGCTTACTTTGTTCTGTTCTGATCTGTGGTCTTTTGTGTTAAGCTCTTTAAAATTAAAAAAAAATAAAGAAAAGTGAAAAAAGATCCTGCCTTCCTCCTCTTCGTGGCATGCTTAAGTCTCAGCCTCATAACCTGGTCTTGGTGTAGTTGGGAACTAATAACTGCTTTGATTAGTCTTCTCTGGATCTTAAATCTGTGTGACATTCCTCATTCTGCCATTTGTTTCACCCTTGTATTGGGGGCATGAAAGCATTCTGTCACTCAAACATGTAATTTAGAGTCCGGTAGACTAGGGATAGGATGAACACTCACTGTCACTTACAAAGTTTTAAAAACAACTATATTATTGGGCTAGGAGCTTATTTCATGGTAGATTGATTGCCTAGCATGTTTCAGGCATTGGGATAAATTACTAACTTGTACAGAAAAAAAAAATTATATGATGGATTTTAACTTATATGTATATGGAGATTTACCCCAAACTGTCACATATATGACAAATTCTTGGTTTTTGAAGTACATTTGTGGATTGCAGTTGCATAAATAATTTTATTTTTATGTAGACAAACACATCCTTTTCCTCCCAGTTCCAGGGATAGAACCCAAGGCTCTGTGCATATTCTGCAATTCCTCCAGTTGCGAACTACATTCCAAAGCTCTGGTTTTTTTAAAATTTCTTTTCTTCAGGATTGGGGGTTGAAAGTAAAAGGTTTATTTGTATGTTTTGCTCTTGAGCACAACAACTTGAAAAGGTCTTTTTTATAATACACCTCTCCTGTTACTTATTTTACCCCTATTTGTGTGTGTGGGGGGGTGCTCACACGTGCATGCAACTGCATATGTGTTTCCTGATTCCCAGCTGAATTCCCGAGTAAAATACCTTGAAAAACAAAAGAAATGAAAATTATCAGGAACTACATAGTTGGGCTTGCTCTCTATCAGCAAGTACTTTGGAAAGTCCTAGAGGAATTCCCACTACCTACAAAGCTAGCAGATATATTTTACAGACACATTTTCTCTATGCCTATGACCTTGTGGTAATTCAGCACAGTTAGGTAGTCTCCTATAATGCTATCATACAATTTTGACTTCAGATTTCTCTTAACACAAATGTTGTATTTCCAGACTCTGATGAAGTAGGTCACCCAGTAATAAACATTATGTTAACTCCACATATGAAGGATGAAATGAGAGTTGTGGAAACAGAGGTCTAGTGTGGAATAGTTGGCAGGGCCAAGAGTTGGTGGCATTGGGGTAGCAGGGCAAGTAAGTGATGGTGTTGCCATGAAAGGGAGAGAAGTGAATAAGAGTAGTGACTCTGCCTACCAGAATTCATCTACCAATTCCAAATGTAAAGCATATGGGTTTGGCACAGAAGAACGAATGAAATCCACTTGCTTTCTCTGTCCTCTGGCAAGCTTATCTCACTGTCCCCTTGCACAAGGATGATTGCTCCCTTGATCCTGTGCAATGGGCGCAAGAGTTTGCAAAACCCATTGAGTAAAACTTTTATACACTCACTGCATTATTTTCTCCTTACTGTACAGAAGTGATTCATCTCTATGGAGATCATTTTGAAGTACACAGAAAAGAATGGAGGAATAAAGAGCAGTAAAGTATAATTCAAGGGTTCACGTGTTGCCTTTCAACAAGTTTTGCTAATCACATTCAATTTCCCACATTAGAGATAACATATTGTATATTAGTGAATCTTGAAGTGTTCCTAGTGTTGTACTTAGGGGTTGTACACAGAAGAGTTAGAATCAGAACATGGACTTTATAATACTATTTTTATGATGCTCACCCAGAGTTAACACAAGAAAATGCAGGAAATCTATCCACAACACTAAAGATATAGAATATTCAGCCAAAGGCCTGAATCCCACAGCAATGTCCCACATGAGTCCAGACGAAGACCCAGAGCTCATGACAATGCCTCCCATGAGTCCAACTGAAGGTCCAGAGCCCACAAGGACTCATGCCACTCTCTTTCATGGATCCCTGCTGGGAAGGCCCAAAGGTCAGCGGTGGAAGCCAGAAAGTCCATGCCAGCAGGGTAAAGGAGCTGTGCTAGAAGGTTGAGGGCTCTGCACTGGAGCTGAGAAGTCACACTCACAACAAAGACCAGGGCTGTCCTGAAAAGCACCACAGCCATCCTCAGCGACATGGAAGCCCTGAATTCCTCCCAAGATAAGCACAGTCAAGTACATGCCAGGAAGCCAGCGTGATGAGTTCATCCTGGGGACCAAGCGGCACACGCCTTCCCCTCTGGAGCCCGGAGACAATGCTTAATGTGAGGACCAGAGCTTCTCCAGGACAACCAACAGCTCAAACAGCAACACGTAGGAGAACCCACAATTCCTCAACGCACTTCAATGCAATAACTTCTCCTTCTCCACATCTCTATGCTGGCAACCTTCCTCAGGTGAACATCTATGCTCAGCAGCATGGTGATTCAATTCTGCTGGTGTTAAAGTTGACCATCAGTTTTTTTTATCCGTAACACCTAGATATCAGGTAATAAGTATATTTACCTCATACTCAAGTTTCCTAATAGTCCAGCTTATGTATCTTGCACAATCCTTAACAATTTATATAGTTTTAAAATATAAAAAATATTGAAAACAAGAAACATTTTAAATAAAGATTGCCGTGGGGACTCTCTGGACCTGCTACCACCGATGCTGGCTATTAAACAGGGCTGTCACTTGGCAGCCTCAATTGAGGAATTGCAGAATTAAAGACATTTTAAGTAAAGATTTAAATAAAGATTACATTCTGTGTGTGGATTCCTTCTATTGACACATATAACAAATTCCACATAAAGATACATCTTGTAGACAAGTGGAACTCAAAGTCTCCTTTAAGTGAAGGGTGCTCTCTTGCAAAACATTGGTGCATAAGAGAAAACTCAGAAGTTACTGTATGGAAAAAACATGGCCGCACTTTCCATCGCCTACCCTGGATGCTGCTCCTTCTTCCACTCTTGTCTCTTTGAAATTTAGTTTGGTTGAAATGCCAACATGAAAAGCAAAGGGCTTCCGTAGACGGTGATGTCTGCATGGAAACTCCTCACAGGAAGGCACCTGAACTCGGGAGACTGACTAGCTAGAGACTGTGAAAGGAATCACAAAGAAAGACATTTTAAGAGTTAAAGTTTCTGCGGGTTTTAGAAAATATTAAATAAAGTCTGAGTGGAAGGCTCCTCACAGGTTGGATTTGTTTTCAGCCCCACAGTGCCATCAGGCGGCAGGAGAAAGGGACATCGTGGATTACCAGAGGAAAGTCATTGTTTTTGGCAACTTAGTTCGACAAAGACCCGGAGACAAAATCTAAGGGAGTCCAGTTGCTTGAGGGGAAGAATCCCAGAATGCACTAAAACCAGCCCTGCGGGTCTTGCAAGACCCCGCCCTTTAAGGAAGGCTCCCTCCGCCCCGCCCTGGGAACTATAGCAACAGCGGCAGGAAGTCACAAGGTTCCTGCAAGGACTTGCTGGATGGAGTGCCAGCACAGCGTTGTTGTGAGCATGCGCGCGTGGCAGCCCTGGGCGGGTCCAGACCTAGGGGTCCTACTTTGGAAAGTGCTGTACCTGAGGTACAGACGTGGTGTCTAGGGTCTGCTGCCCCACGCCAGGACACGCTCCTCTTACCAGTGCCGTGGGGACTCTCTGGACCTGCTACCACCGATGCTGGCTATTAAACAGGGCTGTCACTTGGCAGCCTCAAGCTCTGCCTCATAGCCCTGGCCTCTGGCCTCCTTCTGGGCGCACAGGGCTCCCAGGAGGCCCAGTAGACAGCACCACAGCTGAAGGATCTTCAGTGAATGAGCTCACCTGGCTGATGCGAGAAAAATAGGGTTTTTTTCCATTGTACGTGGGACCAGTATTCACTGTAGCCCCCATGCCAGATCAACATCCTGCTACTAAGCTATATGCTAGGTCTCAAAAAGAGTTTTTAAGGAATCTTATCATTAGGGTCCTGACTAGAACATAGGAAATACAAAAAACAAAAACAACAAATAAATTCCTGCATATTGGGTTGATTCTGGAAAAGCCTCTCAAGGCTTTGTTCTCAGGAAGAGACTTTCAGAACATATCCTGAGCAGGGAAAGACTCCCTAGATTTGAGACCCCATGCTATTAAATCCCCGGAAGACATTGACCCTGTGTCAGGTCAGAATGTTTGAAATCCTGTTGTTATAAGAGCTCAACAGATCACATTCAAGTCCCAGCGGTGATTGATCCATGACAAATATAACTCTGGCCCTGTTAGATGCCAAATATGCCTTGCTTATGGTCCCACAACATGGAGAGATGAAATCAGAACCAACAGAAGAAGTTAAGAGTTTTATTAAAAATAAGGAAAAAAACGGGTCTTGGATTTCGAGGAGGGGTCCTGAGTGTGTGGTCACTGAGGCCCTTTGTCAGGTGTAATTTAAACAGAACATTCACAACACCAGTACAACATGGGTCAACTATAATCCAGCTTTAGTTTTATAAGTATAGTCCCTTAGCTAATACTGACCCCATAGGCAAATGAGTGACATAGCAAGGGTACATGGAAAGAACAGGGACATTTTTGGGAAGTGATGGGTCAGGAGGCCCTGCTCCCCCAGCTGGGTGGCTGATGTCTATCCTAGACCAGGTGGTGCTGACTCCAGTGCAATTTGAAGTTGCTATCTGTGTCTCAGGGAGGTCTATAGGCCTATCTTACCAAGGTCTGGCCTGTGGTAGATTTGTTTGTAGCTACACTTTCACTGTCTTTATTTGTTGTGGTGATCTCCTTTGTCCCATTCCCTTTGACTTCATATTAATTTCTATCTAACTTAGCTGCCTAGTACACTAGGACAGAGCAATACCAGCTCAGCATTGAGAGACACAGGGATTAATATCTTGATGAAATAGCCAGGAAGAGAGTTTTCTTGGGAGGGCACATTTCCTAGGAGTGCATGGAAGAAAAGATTGCGGAATTTTATTGGTCAATCTATATTTCCTGGAGAGAATTTGGCCTTTTTCATAAGGACATGAATTAACTGAAGAGCAAGTTGTCTTAAGAGTCCGAAAGGGAAACCTGACACATACTTAGTAAATGTACCTAAGAGCTGTGGTTCCATCCACATCAAGGCATACGTATCTTAAGTTGTGTTCTATTTTCAAAGATTGCTGTGGTTTGTCTCATGTAGTTATCTGTGCCAGATTTTTCTTTGATACTTGGTTTATTCACTTATTTATTGTTAGTACCAGTATTAAACCCAGGGGATCTTTACTGACCTGTACTCTTATTCCTTTCCATTTCTCATTTGGAGACAAGGCGTGTATAAGTCACTACATTGCCCATCCTGGGCTAAAGTGGAATCCTTTTGGTCAGACTCCTAAAGTGCAGTGATCATAGGCATGACTCACCATCCCAGCCCAACATCTTTGATGTGCTAATGACTGGTGTCTGTAACAAAGTAATGTGACCTATGATGATGCAATTTGCTATTTAGAAAAGAGTAGTTACACAGCCAACTAAAATTCAAAAAACTCAACATTTTATAAATTCTGTTTTTTCAGTGAACTTCTAGTTCCTATGTGATAGGATTTTCAGCTTGGTTAGAAGACAGAATATAAAGTAAAGTGGCCTTTATTTTAAGGATGTGAAGAGAAACTCGATGACCACTGGAGTCTGGCTTTCTCTGCCGGACACGTGGTGTGGGGACATACATATAGCTTTGGTCTGGGGTGGTGCCTAAAGGGGGCATCGATGATGTGCAAGCAGCCGATTGGAATTCATTTTGTGCCACAGGTAAATTGCCTAGGGGCGGGGAAAATGACCTCAAGGTAAATGTCCCTTGGTCACCTCTCACTGCTGTAGTGTGTTATCTAGGGCAAAATCCTTTCACTATGTTACTGCAATAACAAGCAAAAACAATGAAATGAAACCCAGGATTTGGAGACAGATTGGGATCACTCCCAAAATATGAAACCCTGACCTCTGGTGGTGTAAGGCTTGTAGGAGATACACAAGCAGGAAGTGCAGAGGCAGAATGGCTTGTTAATTGGGGATTGGTTTATGCAATGCACATCATAGTGACTGATAGAAATGTGGGAGACCAGCAGCAGCTGAAAAGATAAGAAGTATGAAATATAAATGACCTTTATTTTGAGAATGGGGGAGAGACACCCTCGATCCCCTGGGGCACTGCATCTCCACCCCGGGGTCCGGGAATCTCTCCATGGAACATGTGGAGTGAGACACATAAGTAGCCTCGGTTAGGGTTGGAACCTAAGGGGGCATTAAGGATGCACAGGTAACCCATTGGTCTTTGTTTGGGGCCATAGGTAAATTCCTAGGGGTGGGGGAGATGGAGCTCCTTGGCTTTACGGGCTACAGTGTCCTGTCTGGGCCAAAACACTTTCATATCATTTATATTTCATACTTCTTATCTTTTCAGCCGCCACCAGTCCCCCACAGTTCTATCAGTGACCAGCTATGCATCCCAGTAACCAGCCCTTTCTAAGAGACCAGAAGCAACTGAAACTGGAACAGGAACTATTAACTGGACAATTAAGAAACTGAAGTATACTGGCTAGGGGAGTGGCATTTTCTGTTATATTACAGTTGAGTGGGCCAAAATATACCAGGATTTTTTGTACAAGAATTGCCAAGCGTACCTCTTTATTATATAGTAAATGTATTGACAGTTAGAGGGCAGCAGCAGGAAGAGGCAGAAAGGCAATGCAGGAAAAATAGGGACATGGTAACTGAGGCTTTCATTGTTTATAGTATCAGACATCATTGATCTATGGTACCTCCCACTGTCCCTTTGATGTCAAGAGTCTGGGTGATCTCAGTTTAAGCTTGAATAATCATTAAGGTAGTGTCTAGTGAAAGGGTTTTGGCCCAGACGGGACACTGTAGCCAGGAAAGCCACAACCGGAAGCAGGAAGCCCCTATTTCCCCTGCCCCTAGGAAGTTATCTGTGACGCCATCTTCCCGCCCCTGGAAATTTACATATGGCACCAAACCTAAGACCAATGGGTTACCTGTGCACCCCTAATGCCCGCCTTAGGTTCCACCCCAAACTGAAGCTATTTACATGCCCCCACACCACGTGTCCGCCGGAGAGATCACAGGACGCCAGCGGTGGGGGTGCAGGTCATCTCTCTCCATGTTCTCAGAATAAAGGCCACTTTTTATTTTATACTTCTCATCTTTTGGAAATATTTTTCATCTTTTGGAAATAATCCTAGCATCTAGTTTATGATGAAATGGAGACAAGGGGAATGGTTCATACAACTTCCCTGATTTAGGATTGTGGAAGGATGGATAATCATTCAGGCAGCATGGCATTTGCACTTGAACAAAGGGAATGAGTGACTAAGCTCCTTTGTTTCTAACTGGTCTGTGGGCTCTATTTAGTAAGGTTATGGGCTTGTGTACTTAATAAATCAACAAAAATATATTAGCCTAAGGAGGAGAATGTTTCTTTCAAATAATCCCTTAAGATGGGGCCAATACAGTAGATTTACAATGTTCTGTATAAAATTAAGAGACTATTTTTCAATTTTTGGTATTAAGCATGGTTGGTTTTGTTTGCTTTTTAAAAATCTCATTTCTCTCATATCTTCCTTTCCTGTGAAGGATATGAAGCACACAGGAAAACTAATTGATCACACAGACTATATGGTATCAAATTGTTTGCCTACAGTCAAATAATCCTTTGTTTGTTTGATAGATACAGATACAGATATAGATATCCCAGGTCCAGGAATATATCTCAGTAGCACAGCACAGCAATGCCTGGTAAGTGCAAGGTTTTTATTGAAATATATATATATATATATATATATATATATATATATATATTCCAGTGCATAAGAATGAAAGATGCAGGTACTATACTGGAAAGGGGGCTATTTTATCTCCTTCACTGGATGCTTCTCCTTCCCTGATTTTCTCTATAATGTGGTAGAATCAGGTAACTCAGAAAGTAAAGAGACCTTGTAAAATAGCAAAGACTGGTAGAGCTTGGACTTTAAAGGAAACTTTTCTTGAACCATGGCCGTAGGGTGGTCATACATAAGACCTTGTGAGAATTAAAAGTAAGTGACAAACTGTATGTCCAAATCAAACAATGTTTTTAGAGCACAGAAGCTGTGAGAATAGATGACTTCAAGTTATTTTTGTCAAGCACCATTTAAAGTGAACCATTTTTGGCAATAAAAATGTAATTGATTTTGGCTCATGTGAAATATACCCAAAGCAACTTCTACACATACATGTGTTCAGTTAATATCTTTGTTTTTTTCTTTCTTTCTTTTTTCAGTACTGAATGTTGGGCTTAAAGGCATCCCAGATTCTGGGCAGTCCACTTGCTACTTGAATACATTCC